TGTTTCTCTGAGTTCTGTGAGCCATTCCAGCAAATCAGCCGAACTCAAGGAGGGTGTTCCAGGGAATCTCTGATTGATAGCCAGTCACTCAGAAGCATAGGTAACAACCTGGGTTTGCAGCTAGCATATGAAGTGGAGGGTGGTGTTGTAGGACTGAGCCCTTCACTTGTGACATCTGAAACTATCTCTATCTCTATCTCTGAGTAGATAGTGTCAGAATTGACTTGAATTCTCAGACATCCTGTTGACGTTCCAAGAATTACTGTTGGTGTGGGGGACCTCTCTCACACACACACACTCACACATTGGAATTGGTGACCAGAACCTTAAAATTTGTATACTTAAAATGACAAAACATTGAAAGAAATTAAAGCCTTAAATAAACGAAGAGGCATGCCATGTACACGGATCAGAAAACAACATCGTTAAGATGGCAGCACTCCCAAAGTGATCTGCAGATCCGATGCAGCCTCTTTCAAAATCCAATCTGTTTTCTTGTTTGTTTGTTTTACAGAAATTAACAAGCTGATCCTAAAATTCATGTGGAAATGCAAGGCTACGAAAACAATCTTGGAAAAGAAGAGTCAAGTTGGAAGGCCCACATTTCCTGAATTCAAAACTTTACTACAGAGTTATAGTAATCAAGACAACGTGGCACTGGGATAAAGATGGACATTCAGATCAGTGGAATAGAGGGAGAGTTCAGAAATAAACGGATACATCTATGATTTATTTATTTTCAACAACAGTACCAAGACTATCCAGTGGGGAAAAGAATACACTTTTCAACAGTTTTTTTGGTGGGGTCATCACCCCACAATTTTACTTCTTCTTTTCCATTTTTTTTTAAATTGAAGTACAGCTGATTTACAATATTGTGTTAGTCACTTGTGTACAGCATGGTGATTCAGTTACACACACACACACACACACACACATCTATTCTTTTTCATTATAGGTTAATAAAAGATATTGAATATAGTTCCCTGTGCTTTGCAGTAGAAGCTCATTGTTTATCTGTTTTATATATAGGAGTATCTGCAAATCCCAAACTCCTAACTTGTCCCCTCCCTCACTTTCCCTCTCTCATAACCGTAAGTTTGTTTTCTATGTCTGAGTCTGTTTCTGTTTTGTAAATAAGTGTGTTTGTATTATTATTCTTTTCAGTTTATTATTTATTATTTAATTATTTTATTTGGGGGGTAGGTAATCAGGTTTATTTATTTTTAGAGGGGGTACTGAGGATTGAACCCAGGACCTCGAGCATGCTAAGCATGCTCTCTACCGCTTCCACATGTAAGTGATATCATGTGGCACTTGTCTTTCTCTTTCTGGCTCACTTAGTATGATCATCTCTTGGTTCATCCATGTTGCTGCAAATGACATTATTTCATTCTTTTTTTTATAGCTGAGTAGTATTTCTTTGCTTGGAGGCAGACCCCTGGGACCTCTATCCATGAATTCCTGTCTGTGTCCCACACATTCCAAATGCAAGACTTACAAAGCTGGTCTCTATGCGAGCCACTTCCCTGACACTGGCATGTAAGTCTTAAATCCCAGGCAGGCTTCTGGGATTCCTAGTTTCTGTGGGACTTTGCCCATGAATAATGTTTTCTCTGCTATCCAGAGAAAGGAGATATTTTTTTTAAATTGATGACAGTATTTTTCTTACCCATTTTCCCTCTCTCCCACCATCATCTGATGATTCAGGATACAGCTCACTCTAGAGCTCCAGCCTTGGGAATCTTTCTCCAGATTGTGCACACACTCATGTTTTGTGTAGACCAATAGATAGAAATACAACCATGTGAAGAGGTGCTCAGGAAG